AGATATTTTATTTTTTATAATTTTAATTTTTAAATCTCTTTTTAATAAAATTTTTAAATTTGTATTAGGAATTTTTCTTGTTCATCTAACTTTTCTTTTAAATTATAAGTCAATGAGTTTAGTCCACAAGATAAACTTCTTAGCGGTAGAATTCCTACTCAAAAGGGGTCTAAGCTGAACTTGCCAGCATGTCAAAAAAGTTTCAATTGGTCCTAACATGTGCATGTATGACGGAGGTCAATAGTACATGTGCTACATGTGATCTTTTCGTGTTAAATATTGCCTCATTTCCCTAAACTTGAAAACTTGGAGGGTAAAAACTCATATATTATAAAATTAGGGATAAAATGCCTCAAACTCCAAAGGTTGAAGGGCAAACTATGGGTTTTTGTCCTAAATTTTACAATTACAATCAAAATGTGTCGTTACATGAGTAAATATATATAATATTACATATGAACTATATATGTATTTAAGGATGTTCATATCCGATCCAATTCGATTGATCCGACCTAAACTGATCCAATCCAATCAAAAATCGATCCAAATCAATATAAAATTGGGTTGATTTGAATTATAAAATTTTAAAATTGATATAATTGGTTTGGTTTATGATTTTACCTTCAAACCGCCTGAACGGCCCCGATTACAAAATAAAATCCGATTACACGATAACTTAATTAAATAATATAATATATTTTTTGTAGTATTTTAAAATTTCTTTTTCTTATTTTACAAGATAATAACTTCATTAACTTAATTAAAAAATAAAAATAAAATATTTCTATATTCCTTAAGTTATTTTTCCATTTTAATCATGCATTTTAACCATAATTCTAAATTTCTAATTCACCTGCAACTCTATCTCTTTAGAACTGGTTCACGCCTTTACTATTAGAATCCTAAATTTCTAATTTATTCTTAAAATAATCTTCTTTTTTTTTGGATAAAAGGTGATTTTATTTATCCAAAAATACTTACAACATAAAGCAGCACATGAGCTACTACAAGAGAGAAAAGGCTAAGAAAATACACAATAGTTAGTACACATTCTACTATTACCTAGAAACTAGTCTGTCACAATAGTTTCAAGTCCCCATTGAATTGCAATAGCCTTAGGAAGTGATGAAGACCTTGGGCGAGCAAACTCCAGCATTCTAGCT